ACAAGGGTAGAGAATACTGAAAAGCATAAAAGAGACATAGGGTATATGTAATTAAAGTTTTAGAAGAGAAGAAGAAGAAAAAAGAAAAGGAGAAAAAGAATGGGGCAGAAACAATATTTGATGAGCATTTGGCTATGGATTTTTCCCAAACTGATGAAAATTATCAAACCACAAATTAAAGCTGATCAGTGGTATCAAGCAGGAAAAATATTAAGAAAATCCGCCTGGGGAACATCATAGTAACATTGCAGAAAACAGGTCAAAGAAATCTTAAAGGCAATAAGAGAGTAAGGCATTTTACCTTCAACAGAGCCAGCAAGACTGACAGCCTGACTTTTTAATAGTAACATGGCATAGAGAAATAATAGCATTAAAGTGGTGACAGCGAATAACCACCAATCTTTACCAGTGAAAACATCCCTTAAAAATAGAAAGTAAAGATGTGTTCAGAGAAACAAAAATTGAGGAGAATGTGTAACCGGCAAAACCACCCTTAAAGGATATACTAAAGGTTGTTCAGAATGGAGGAAGATGATTCCAAATGGATGAAAATGTTGGGAAGGGACTGTTATGTGGGTAAATATGAGTGGTTTTTAGTTGTATAAAATAATAGTAATAATGATGTAGACTTTAAAAGAATTAAAGTATGTAACCGTGATAGTACTGTATTTGAAAAGAAAGTAAATGGTGATAAATGTGTTCCAATGCCCTTGTATTGTCTGGGAAGTGGTAAAAGTGCTAATTTTATGGAGGAATTTGTAAATGAGAGATATATGTTATAATCACTTAGGTAACCACTGAAAGAATAGTAAAAGGATATGTATTTGATAAGCTAGTGGTGGAGAAAAATGGAAAAATAAAAATTTAAAAAATGTTTAAAACAAGAGGGCAAGAAAGAGGAGATACAACAGGCAAGGCACATAGAGAACAAATAGTAAATTATTTTATTATTTATATGAGTTTCAATACTTACTAGGTGAGCTATGTAAAATTGGCAATATTTAGCATAAAAATAGCAATTTTATAACACATTAAATGTAACTAGATCAAATTAATTAGAACCAGAGTATCTAATTAACTAACTATATTCTGTGTATAAAGAAATCACACATTAAATGTGAAAATGCAGTAATGTTGAAAGTAGAAAATGGAAGAAGATATATCATGTAAACACCAAGGTGAGAAAGTTGGTTTAGCTGTGTAAGATAAAATAGACATTAAGGCAGAAATGTTATTAGAGATAAAGAGAAATATTTAGTTGGCAAAGGGTGTATATAACTTTAAGAATGCAAAAACAGGAACTAATTCATTAATCCTTACATGTTACCATGACTTCGAAGGATTAGTTTTGTTAAGTTAACCAGTTTGGGGGGATTGCATATGAAGCAGGTGCTCTTCCCCTGAGTTATGTCCTACCACTTTTTAAAATTTATTTTGAGGCACAGTCTTTCTGAGTTGCCTACGCTGGCCTCTTAAGTAGTTGTCCTCTTGCTTCAGCCTGTCAGGTAACTGTGATTACAGGTGTACACCACTGCACCTGGCATGATTTGTGCTTTTTGTATTATTAAAAATCTTGTACTGGGGCTGTGACTCAGTGGTAGAGCGCTTGCCTCACACATGTGAGGCACTGGGTTCAATCCTCAGCACCACCTAAAAATAAATAAACAAAATAAAGGTATTGAGTCCATTTACAACTAAACAACAACAAAAATAAAAAAAACTTTTAAGATATAAAATCCAACTAATTCTGTTTTTTTTCTGAAAGCTTTAAAGTTTTTTTCTTTATACACAGAATATAGTTAGTTAATTAATTTTTTTCTTTGAAATCTTTTGATTCATCTGACATTTGTTTATATAATGGATAACACACAATTTCATTTTATTTTCTGTAATTAAGTTTGTCTCTTGAATTCTTGATTTGAAATGTCACATGATACTGAATTTCCATTTCTGCCTGGGTCTCTATCAAGTTTGTCTTTCTGTTCCGTTTTGACCATTTGCCTTTGGCCAACATCATGCTAATTTTAAGATATAATAAGTCTTGATAGCACTTTGGGTAAATACCTTATGATTTTTCAGATTTTTTGGGGATGGGCTTTAGGATCACCTTAAGTTTCATGGAAAATGTTGAAATTTTGATAGGTAATATACTGAATTTATACACTAATTTGGGAGATAATTGCAATTTTTTAAAATATAGAATCATTTTACTTATAAACAAGATAGATTTATTTGTCTTTTATCTTCCTCAGTGAAGTTTGAGTTTTTCTTTATAAAAGTCTTTTTTTTTTTTTTTTTGGTACTGGTGATTGAACCCAGAGGCGCTTTGCCATTGAGTCACATACTCAGCCCCCACCCCTTTTTAATTTTAAATTTTGAGACAGGGTCACTAAATTGCTTAGGGCCTCACTAAATTGCTGAGGTTGGCCTCAAATTTGTGATCCTCCTGCCTCACCCTCCTGAATTGCAGGAATTAGAGGTGTGTGTCACCATGCCCAGCTTTAAAGTCTTTTGTATCTTTTGGTAGATGTATTCTTAGAAACCTTAAATTTTTATTTAAATTTTAGAGCTGGGGCTGTAGCTTAGTGGTAGAGTGCTTGCCTAGCATGCATGAGGCACTGGGTTCGATCCTCAGCACCACTATATAAAAATAAACAAGTAAAATAAAGGCATTCTGTCCATCTACAGGTACCAAAAAAAAAAAAAAAAACAATAAATAAATAAAAAGATTTTAAATGACAAAGTTATATTTAAAATTATTTATATAATATTTAGGGATGCTGTTGATTTTGGTGTGTCTATCTGAAATCAAACTTCAACTAAACTCTTTTATCATTCTGATGTTTTGTTCTTTCTCTTTGATTTAATTTTCTTCATGATAAATTATGTCATCCACAAATAAAATTTATTTTTCCTTTCGATTGTTATTTCACCACCTTTATATTTATACCTAAATAATATGGTCTAGATAGATATCTTTGAACAGTAATACATTCATGCATATGCAGATATTATATGTATTTTCTTCTTGGTTTATTTAGATCAACTTGGAAGGAGAAGTATCCATGTTATAGTTAGGCAGCTGCATATTTTAACGAATATACCACAAGTTTATGTATGTGTTGTTGATGGATGTTTGGGCAGTTTCCTGTTTTCATGACCATGCTTTTTGTATGTTCTTGGGTATCTTTTTATGACTTTCCATGCATGTATCTGCAGGTTCATAAGAGTGTACAAATCTTTAACCTGACAGTATAGTGCTGAACTGTTTTTCAAGCTGTTTGAATCAATTTAGATTTCCACTGACAGTATTTGAATGTTCCTTTTGCTCCATATCCTTGCCAGTGATTGATGTTGCCAATTTGGTGTTCATGTAGCTGTGATCTTAGAATTTTCATTTTCCTGATTGATTAACGAGGTTAAACACTATTCATGTGAATGTTAATTGGTTATTTGAATATCATCTTTTGTGATGGTCCTATTCAAATATTTTGTCCATTTTTGTATTAGATTATCTGTCTTACAGATTTTTAGATGTTCTTTATGTATTTTTCATACATATGTTTGGGTACATATTCTGGATATGTTCTGCACATGTCTTCTGATTCCATAACTTGTGTTTTTACTCTTTGTGATGTCTTGATAAAAAAGTTAAATTATTTTTGTTTTAAATTTTTTCCCTTTAAAGTAGTAGAATATAATTAATATTTTTCTTTATGATTAGTGCTTTTTATTGTCCTAATTTAAAAAGTTTAATAAGAAAGTGATGCAGATAATTTTCTTTTATTATTTGCTAAACCTTTCTAGAGTTGCCTTTCACATTTAGGTCTCTAACATATGTACATATATATGTATGTATGGTATAGGGTGAGAGTTTGGTTTTTGTTTTTTCCCATATGGATACTCACTTGTTCTACTATTTTGGCGGGGGGGAGAATAACACATATTTGTCATAAATATATCTGTGCTCGTGTAGATATATTTCTGGACTTTTCTGTTCTGGTAGTGTCTGACACAGAAATCCACCTAAATGAAGCACGTGCAAGAAGGTGGGAATAAATTACAAATTATCAGTCATTGTAACAGATACAAAATGGACTAAATCCACCAGTTTAGAAACAGATTTTACATTGGATTTTTAAAACATGAGAACTCAGGAAAGTTTAAAGCAAAAGATGGGAAAAAGAATTAGCAGGTAAATTCTGAGTGTCTTTCTCTTCTTTGGGAAGGAACAAGTGTCTCAATTCAACTTCATACATTGTTGGGTCTAAGGCCTCTCTGCTCCTGTCCCCTAGTGTTTATTAAAACTCAAGCCCTAACAGGTGCTGTGGCACATGGCTTGGGAGACTGAGGCAGGAGGATCGCAAGTTCAAAGCCAGCCTTAGCAGCTTAGCAAGGTCCTAAGCAGCTTAGTAGACCCAGTCTCAAAATAAAAAGAGCTGTGGATGTGCCTTAGTGGTTAAGCGCCTCTGAGTTCAATTCCTGGTACCCCCCCTAAATAATAATAACAATAAATAAATAAAAACAAAGCTGCAAGCCCAAAGATTACAGAAATTTACCTCCCAGGACAGCCTTTTTTTCCCCTCTGCCCCTGGAAATTTTCTTTATTGTGGGGTCAGCCATGTATTTAAAGGCAATTTGCCATGTTTTGTTTTATCTATCATGTGTTAGGCATTTGTAGGGACTTTTTTCTCCTGTTTACTTCCAGTCATTTAGTCTGTTGTGTATTGTCTACTCCATTAGTCTTTTATAGAGTTTTTTGCTTTTTTTAAAAAACTCTTGTTAACTGAGGATCAACTCAGGTCATTGTGTCTGAGAATTTTAAGAACTCATCCTTCTAAGGGTTCCACTAGAAATATAGTGATTGCCTGTGGTTGATAGGTATTCGTGTGTTTTTCATGTTTCTACTAACAGAGCACATATTTCATAACGTTATCTTAAAAAAAGAAATTGTCCTTAAGATCCTTCAAGTAATAGCCTTTCTTTTATATTTGTTGCAGGTGGTGCGGTTGTGTCAGAACCCAAAGCTGGCGCTGAAGAATAGCCCACCTTATATCTTAGACCTGCTGCCAGATACCTACCAGCATCTCCGTACTATCTTGTCAAGATATGAGGGGAAGATGGAGACACTTGGAGAAAATGAATATTTTAGGGTGTTCATGGAGAATTTGATGAAGAAAACTAAGCAGACCATAAGCCTCTTCAAGGAGGGGAAAGAAAGAATGTATGAGGAGAATTCTCAGCCTAGGTAATGGAGAAATACTACACAAATATTATTTCAGGTCTGTGACTGCCTGAATGGATAACCATAGAAGTAGTTGAGTTTGTTTGAATTTTATATTATCTGGAATGGAACATGACAGTAGATTTTAAGATGTGCTTTATGTAAAGGTTCTTTTGGAGGACATTGCGCCATCTTCAAGTCTGGTAGACTTGTTTTCCTAAAGTTATGGAAATGGTTGCAGACCGTAGACCTTTGAAGACCTGGGGGATCATGCAAGTTAATTGTATGTTGATGTTATTGTGTTTGGTTTTGACCAGTTGGAAATAAATTTTAACTCATTTAGAACAAGTAACAAAATATAAATTCTACTAGGATTTTTTTAGTGAGTAATTTACTCTTGAGGGACACTTAATTGGAAGGAATAGTAATTTTTGAAAGCATTAAGTAACTATGCATGACTCTAGCAGTAATGTACTAATGGTATTTTTGTAGTTTACTATTTCTTAGTCTCTGATGGCTTCAATTTTGGCAACCCTGTCCCACTTAAAATTTTTTCCACATCATTACTCATATACCTTGACTGTAACTAATTATTCAGGTTTAGTTCAGGTATCAATCTTTTCTTCTTGAAATGATTTCTGGTGACTAAATTCAGTCTGTAGGAATTTATAACTTCTGGTTTACTTGCAAATGAACTTTATTCTTATTAAATGTAAAAGGGCTGGGGATGTAGCTCATTGTCTAGCCTTTGTAAGGCCCTGGGCTTGTTGGTGGTGGGGGGGAGAAAGAAAAAGGAAGAAAGCAAGTAAAAAAGAAATGTTGACTATATGGAACTCTAAGCTAACTAGTTATTTCATATTGCAGATTTCTTTTATTTCTTTTATAGCACTGGGTACTGAACTATTTGAGAGTGCTTCTTTACCCTCCCTTCCCCCTGTGCTAGGGATAGAACCCAGGGCCTGGCACATGCTAGGCAAGAGCTATATCCTCAGCCCTTTTTATTTTATTTTAAAACAGCATCCCACTAAGTTGCCCAGGATGGCTTCATATTGGCGATCCTTGTGCCTCAGTCTCATGAGCGGCTGGGATTACAGATGTGTGCTAACAAGCCTGGCAAGAGTTTTTAAAAATATAATCTCATACTACAGGGACACAGCCACATCAATGTTTATAGCAGCACGATTCACAATAGCTAAACTGTGGAACCAACCTAGATGCCCTTCAGTAGGTGAATGGATAACGAAAATGTGGCATATATACACAATGGAGTTCTATTCAGCATTAAAAGAGAATAAAATCATGGCATTTGCAGGTAAATGGATGAGTTGGAGACTATAATGCTAAATGAAGTTAGCCAATCCCAAAAAACCAAATGCCAGATGTTTTCTCTGATATAAGGAAGCTGTTTCATAATGGAGTTGCGGTGGGGAGGGGAAGAGCATGGGAAGATTAGAAGAACTCTAGATAGACCAAATGGGAGGGAGGGGGTATGGGGGTAGGAAAGACACGGAATGAGATAGACATCATTACTCTAAGTATACGTGAATGAAGACACGAATGGTGTGACTCTACTGTGTGTACAACCAGAGATGTGAAAAATTGTGCTCTATATGTGTAATATGAGTTGTAATACATTCTGCTGTCATTTATAACAAATTAGAACAAAAATATATTTATAATCTCAATAAGTAGCTAACAAAACTTTAAAAATTTACCAACTACTATAGACTTTATTGTGGCTAATTCTAGGAAGCGAAAGAATTTTAAAAAGCATTTAAATATGATGTTAAGGGGCTAGGATTGTGGCTCAGTGGTAGAGCACTTGCCTAGCCGGGTACAAGGCCCTGGGTTCGATCCTCAGCACCACATAAAAATAAATAAACAAAATAAAGATATTGTGTCCAACTACAACTAAAAAATAAATATTTTTTTAAAAATATGATGTTAATGTAACATCATCCAAATATGATATAAGATAATATGACTCAATAGAGATACATACAGGATGCTGCAAGAACAGTTTTGCTTGGTGGCATAGAGTTAGCAGCAAAAAAGAAGTGTTATTTGAACTAGATTTTGTAGGTTGTTTTATGAGTTTTCTATGTAGAGAAGTCAAGAGAAGACCTTTAACATAGTTGTATGAAAATACAGACTGCTTAAGGAACATGAACAGTCTGGTTTGGCTAGAACTATGGTAGCTAGATAAGTGGAAATATAGTTGGAGTCTTGTTATAAAGGGCTGGACTTTGACCTGTAGACTTTCTGTCTTGTAGGTGACAGATTGTCATAAAACAGTTGGTGTGTATGTTGAGGGGAGGGGATTTGGGGGATTGAACCCAGGTTTGTTCTACACTAAACTATATATATATCCCCATCCCTTTTTAAAAATTAAATTATTTATTATAATTTTTTATACATGACAGGAGAATGTAATTCATTTCATATTACACACGTAGAGCATAATTTTTCAAGTCACTGTACACAAAATATTTTCACATCATTCACGTCTTCATACATGTACTTAGGGTGATGTCTAACTCATTCCACCATCATTCCTACCCCCTTACCCTACCTCATTACCCTCCTTCCCCTTTGCCCTATCTAAAGTTCTTCCATTCCTCCTTCCCCACCATCCCTTTTTATTTATTTTTTTAAATTTGGAGACAGGGTCTCTCTGAGCTGCCCAGATTGTCCTCCTTCTTGCAGTTCTCCTGCCCCAGCCCGCCCAGTTGCTGGGATTACAGGCATGCACCACTGTGCCCATTCCTTTAATTTTTATTTAGAAACAGGATCTTGCTAAGTTGCTGAGGCTGGCCTTGAACTTGTCCTGCTTCAGCCTCCTAAATCAGAATTACAGGAGTGCCCCACTAAGCCTGGCTTTTTTTTTTTTCTTTTTTCTCTCTCTCCTGATAAGGGAAAATTTATGAGCTTTAGTGTCTGATATTTTTGATCTATGTTTTGGCTTAGAAGTTTTTCTATTTTTTTTATATGGATATAATTCATGTAGTGTAAAACTCACTCTCAAAGTATACGATTCAGGGTGCTGGAGTTGTGGCTCAGGGGTAGAGCGCTCACCTAGCACATCTTAGGCCCTGGGTTCGATACTCAGCACCACATAAAAATAAATAAAATAAAGGTATTGTGTCCATCTACAACTGAAAAATAAAATTAAAAAGTATACAATCCAGTAAAGTATACAAACTTGTGGTTTTTAGTTTATTCAGTTATGCAGTCGTCACCACTCTTCAATTCCAGATTATTTTAATCACCCCCAAAAGAAACCCATACTCGTTAGCAGTCACTCCTTACTCCCTTTTCCACCTCCCCTCTAGCCCAGTCACTAATATCTGCTTTCTCTCTCAGTGGATTTACCTGTTCTAGACATTTCATAGAAAATAGAATTGTACAACATGACCTTTTGTATCTGGCTTCTTTTAGTATGCTTTCACAGTTCATACATATTTATATTGTAAGTCATTACTTCATTTTTTTTTTATAGTTAAATGATTTTTCAATGTACGGTCATACACATTTTGATTATGGACATTGGGTTTGTTAACATTTTGGGGCTATTCAGAATAATGTAGCAGGCTGCAGTGGCACATACCTGTAATCTCAGCGGCTCTGGAGGCTGAGACAGGAGGATCACAAGTTTGAGGTTAGCCTGGGCAACTTATTGAGAACCTGTCTCAAAAAAAAAAACAAAAAAAGCTGGGGTGTACCTCAGTGGTAAAGTGCTCTTGGATTTGATCCCTAGGACTCCCCCCCCCCTCAAAAAAAAAGCTGCTGTTAATGTGCAAATTTTGTTTATTTATTTTTTTCACTCCTTTTTGGTCTATAACTAGGAAAGGAATTGCTAAATCATATGGTTATTCTGTGTTTAACTTTTTGAGGAACTTCCAAACTGCTTCTACAAGTGACTACAGCATTCTGCCTTCCTCTAGCAATGTATCAGGATTCTAATTTCTCACCAACACTTATTATTGTCATGGTCGTCATCTTCTTCTATTTTTCCATACTGGGGATTTAACTCTGGGACACTCAAACACTGAGCCACATCCCTAGCCCTATTTTGTATTTTATTTAGAGACAGGGCCTCACTGAGTTGCTTAGTGCCTTGCTGTTGCTGAGGCTGGCTTTGAACTCACAATCCTTCTGTCTTAGACCCCTGAACTGCTGGGATTATAGGCATGCACCACCGTGCCTAGTTTATCATCTTCTTTATTATAGTTATCCTACTGGACTGTGAAGTGGTATCTCAAGGTTTTGCAATGTTTTTCTAATGAGTAATATGAGTGTGAGCATCATTTCACGTACCTATTAGATATCTTCTTTGGAGAAATGTCTTATCAAAAGTTGTGCCCATTTTTTATTGGGTTGTCTTTTTATTGTTGAATTGTAAGTTTTTTTTTTGTGCATGTTCTGTATACTAGACTACTATCATAAATCATATATACCATATGTAAGATTTGTAAAACTACTCCCATTCTGTGGGTCTTTGCACTTTCTCAGCACATGCTTTGAAGCACAAAAGATTTTAATTTTAAATCTAATCCCCATCCTTTTTTTTTTTTTTTTAATTTTGAGACAGGGTCTCATTAAGTTGCTTAGGACCTTGCCAAGTTGCTGAGGCTGGCCTTGAACTTGTGATCCACCTGCCTCAGCCTCCTGAGTTGCAGAGATTACAAGCATGCAACACTCATACCTGGCTTGAAGTCTAATATTTTTTCTTTAATTGTTTTTGCTTTTAAGAAACATTTGCCTAATTTAAGATCATGAAGATTATGCCTTTTTTTTTCCCCAGGAGTTTTATAGTTTTTGCCCTTGGATTTAAGTCTTTGATCCATTTTTAGTTAATTTTTGTTTATGGTACGGGATAGAGATCCAACTTCATTCTTTTTCATATGGATATCCCATTGTCTTGTACCAATCTTCCTTTCCTGTCTGGATACATTTTATTTTATTTTACTTTTTCCTGCCTAATTACCCTGGAGAGACTTCTGTTGAATAGAAACTATGTTGAA